GTGGCAGATGCTTTCCAGAGGGCATTGCATGATGGAGCTGAGTTCATAATCCCATCAACTTTGACAAGATTCACAACAACACTGACTGAAATGTGGCTGAAATTTATGACAGAGCCTCTGCCAGATTTTATTGGTTAGTCCAGTTTTGTGTAATTTCACACACCTCAGCCTCCTTGATTCCCTTCCACTGACACCATTTCTGTTGAGGCTTTGGTGAACAGTAGCTGGATCAACTGGAGGGCAGATACATCTCTCAGGTCCTTCGTCAAGTCTTTTTTTGCTATTTCTTAAGGACATGACTTTGAGATACTGTTGATCTGCTGTAGATAGTTTTTCAGGCCTGCCACTTCTTTTTTTTTGTCCTCCACTAGTCCAGTTTCCTGTGTCAAGATGTCAATTTTTGGCTGATAGCTCTTTGGGAATAACCTTGTTGTAGTACAATAAGGTGAATCCTAAAGTGCAAAAATAAAATCTTGCTATTTTATGCCTGTCAAACTGTGTTATCCGTGTCATAATTTCCCGTAGATTAAAAAATGGGGGCAATTATGAGCTTTTGCAGCAGGCTACTGAAAAACAAAAGGGTAAGAGTTTTAAATTTGACCTTTGTTTTTTTGAAAGTGGTGATTTGCTAATTGCATTGTTACGTGTCTTTTTAGGCTTGAATGATTCATAGATCTGCGTTAAGTGGCTTAAATAAACCAAAAAACAAATAAAAACATTCCTCTGAAAAAGCCTGGAAAAGATACAAGCACTGGACGGAAAATTAGTGAAAAAGCAGTCAGTGTTAAAGAAATCATCCAAAGCTCCAGAAAGCCTGGAGAACTTTTGCTCAAGACCACCTTGAAACATTACGAGAAAGTCTAGATCCTTGGATGCTTGCATCAGTGTTATGCACATCTTAAGTTAGTATAAAGATGCCATACTTTGAAATAAGCCTCAGAACAGTCTTTTCCTGCTACAGTCAAACTTATTTTCACAGTATTTTGACTATCACTCAAATTAATGTTCTGATTAGTTTTGCATGTGTGCCTAAGGAGCTTGGAAAGAAAAGCGTCTGGACTTCTTTAAGTTGCTTGAAGACATTTCACCTCTCATCCGAGAAGCTTCTTCAGTTCTAGGGTCAAATGGTGGAGTCCCAGATTTAAACTCTGTGGGAGTAACCCACCAAGAGGGACAATGAACCCCCTAATGATCCTCTACCTAATCACATGAGCCAAGGTGTGGAAATGGGCGTAGGTCACAATCAGCCAAGGTTTTGGGTGAACTCATTGTGAAACCTAGGCCCACCCTGTGAATTCCTGAGGTCAGGTGACCCAGGATGTGAGAGGGCGTTAAGGCATCTGAGAAGGGATCTCAAAACTGGATTGGCAGACAGTTGGTGTCGTAAACCACCGACTCTGTTCAAAGATGGTCGCTCACATCAGACACCAAGTAGGGAGGATAAGAAGGACAAACGCAACAACATTGCCATCCCCTATGTAGGTTTCACAATGAGCTCACCCGAAACCTTGGCTGATTGTGACCTACACCCATTTCCACACCTTGGCTCATGTGATTAGGTAGAGGATCATTAGGGGGTTCATTGTCCCTCTTGGTGGGTTACTCCCACGGAGCTTAAATCTGGGACTCTCCACCATTTGACTCTAGAACTGAAGAAGCTTCTCGGATGAGAGGTGAAACATCTTCAAGCAACTTAAAGAAGTTGCTTGAAGAAAACACTTTTCTTTCTCTCTCTTCTTCTTTCTCTTTTCTTTCCAAGCTCATTAGACTACGATGACCTGGATGACTGAGAACCTTCACAGACATTTGCATGTATGCCTCTTCAACTATGAGCTCTATGTGCCCATTCTGATTTCTCATGTTCTTTGTTATGTTCATGTTCTGTCTTGTGTATGACATGATTCAGTGGTTTTGTACTGAATGTCTATTTCTTTTAGCACAATTGTGACTCACAACAGTTATTAACGCATTAAAGTCTACCTCCCCCCTGCCTTGTTTGGCATCTTGTGATGACATTGCATAGTGACTCAAAAAGCAAGTTTTGCTAAAGGCAACAAAAAAAAAGTCTGTGTGCTGTTTTTTTTTTTTAAGAAAGAAATGCAAGAAAAAACACTTGAATATTAATAGTAAAAAGAGAATTAAAAAGTACCTGGTTAGATTTTCTTTTACAAGGTTTTCTGTCAGGATGACCATAGTGTCTTGTAAGTACTTCATGAGAGGGGAAACAGCCTGGGAGAATGTCACACATTACATAAATACCACGAAACACCGCTAATATAAGGGTAAAAAAGGCTAGGCGGCTATTGCTACATACGTCATCATTGTTGATGGAGTCAGGAGACAGGCTGATGTGCTGGATGTACCTCCGCAGCTCAGGCAGCATCTGCACAGGAATATTTAGTCACAGATGTTCATGAAGGTGCATACTTCAAGTATATAGATGTCTGGATACGCTCAAAAAGTTCTACAAACTGGTTTGTGAGAAACAGGAAAATTATACTCCTCGTGTTCACCTTGTCAGTGAGCAGTGTGATGAGGCGTTTAGCTTCTCTCTGCAGATCCAGGTCCATGTTGAACAGCTGTCCATTCAGAGCCTTGTAAACCTGCTCTTTCCCCTCCACCCCGCATGACTCCTCCATGGCGCGCTCCACACCCTGCCAGTCCAGGTCCCGGGGCAGGTGACCCAGGAAAACACGCACATGCTCTGTGTTGTTCAGGGCAATGCAGAGCTAGCAGAAAGCGAGGAGGAGCAAAGGCGGAGAAACAGAGGGTAGAGGTGGAGAAAAAAAGAAGGAAAAGAAGCAGGGCTACAGAGAAGTGGAGGGATTGAGTTTGAGTGTAAATGATTGATGACGACAAGAAGCAACTGCTTTGTTTTTGTGTGTATAACATATCTGCTCAGCTCCCGCTGAGCCCTTTGTGTTGACAGAGAGCTTGCTGACATCGTTGACGTAATTCTGTGCCCACCCCCGGTTCTGTCTTGCTACAGGCGTTACCTGCACTGTGAAACTCTTGTGGTCTCGGCCCAGCTGGTTCCTCTCAATCTTGTGCGTTATCATCTCTGAGTAGCACACGGCCTCACTGCAGAAATTCTGCAGCAGATAAAATCAGTCTTGTCATTACGGCACAGCTCCCTCAGTTTCCTTTATGATTTTGACTGATAAACTGTATGTGTCATGTTTCTATGTGCACAGAATATGAGTATGTGAGTGTGGCAACACTATAAGTGGCACTCACGTCTGTCAAACGTGTGACAAAGATGAAGGCCCCCGCAGAGTCTGGCCAGGCCAGCTGGACCCAGATCTCGCGTACCTGGCTGAAGCAAGCTGTCACTTCAACTGCTGAGGAACTGTGCTTGGCTTGCTGCAAAGGTTCAAGCTACTCACAAAAAATAAAATCAATCTTAAAAAAGACAAAGCATGGATTTCCTAATATTTACATTTTTTTTTTAACTTGCATGAAAATCTGTAACGTTTTAGCATATTTTGCAAGCAGGGAATGAATAACTGTTTTAAACTTAACACGGTAAAACATTTTAATGTAGTTCCAAGGAGGTATATGACCTGCGATTAAAAAATAGGCAGTTAAGTCATAAAAGACAGATCTGATTTAAAATTTCCCCTTTAAGGTCATATAGTTGTAAAGCTCACTTCCAATGCTGCTCCTTCTAATTGGATCACTTCTATTACAGCTCATAGTTCTTCTATTTTTTTAGCCTTTATTAGAAAGTGAAGCAGTGAATATAGACAGGAAAGTGGGGAAAGAAAGAAGGGGAAGACACGCAGCAAAGGGCTACGAGCTGGACTTTGGTGTCAGCCATTATCTGCCAGCACACAGCGCAGTTTTTTGACTTGGCCAAATTCATATCAATTTGAAGAGGACCTATTTTGACACAGTGGACCTGAGTGATCTACCCATAGCAGCAACACTGGAAGTGGTCCAGTGGAGTACGCAAAGAAGACCTTGGAAGGAAGATTGGCAAATCAGGTAAGGATGTGGTTTCTTTTTTATTTCTTTAATCACTTCTTGTGAACAACAAGTTTTTTACACTGCATTTGTGGACCACTATAACATCTCAACTGATCGAGGGACTGGCTGATCAGCTAATGAATGCTAGCTTATAGCGCCAGACGAATTATTTATCAGCAGATTAATGCTTCTCCTTAAAGTGAATACTGTACATGTTCAATAATGGTGAATAAATCATTATTGTACAAAATATTTGAATTCTTAGAAAATATATAGAAAAAGAAGAGAGCTGGGGGTCTCATAAATTTTTTACACCTTTGGTAACAATGGAACAGTTTTGAGCAATAAGGATACAATATATAAATAATATATTACAGGTTAATTGTACATTGATGCTGTGATAATGTGTTAATTGATAACACATTAAAGGTGCCTTTTACAGCTATTCACAGCTACAATCCTAAAGCTTCTAAAGCTTCTAAAGCTTTAGACCTACTCTATGTGGCACACAGCTATATTTTACACACCTGCGTGTTCAAGTTGCCTTGTCTTCTGAGAAAGAGTCTATTATGTTCCTTCTATTATTCATGCCATTTCTCACCTTATCTGTGTCCACTGCCTTGCGAATCCTGTCACAGGACCTGTCGTGAACAATCTGCAGCCACTTGTGAATTGAGGACTTGAACCAGTTATGAAAACCTGTCAAGGCCAACATTTTAGCATCCCTGTAAAAGAGAAATACATTCATTAGAACATGGCTTCCAGTCAGAGCCTTTTACATTGTTACATCAATACACGTTGGGGTCAAAAGGATAACCTACTTGAGAGGAAGAAACTCTCGAAAGCCTTTGAGGATTTTCAAGGACACGAAGAGCTCGAAGATGGTCTCTCCCATTGTCTGAGACAGTCTGGAGCTCTCCTGCTCGAGAGTCCCACACACCCGCTCCATCGCCACGTTCACATCGTCAGCTACCTGTCAGGTCAAAGGAAGTCAGCGTGTTTCATCCGTGTAAAAGTTAGCAGCAACAACAACATATGACTCAGAAAGACTTGTCATGTCATGTGACCTGTCGCATCATTTTCAGTGACATACCTGCTTTTCCAACAGTCTGTATGATATGCTGAAGAAATCTACTTTCACTGCACTGTGGAGAAAACAAACAAACAAACAAAGAAAAGTATAAAAATCCCATCAACAACTAAGCACACAAATCAGTGTGTCACCACTGAATAATATAGCATGACACTTATCGGTTGTTGTTTTTTCTCCCTCGGATTTCTTGCAGAAAACTGCTGTTCACCTGTAGAAAAGTTTGTTGTAGATGTTCTGGGCCCACTGGACGTCTGCACATGCAGCATCAATCACCTGAACCAGCTTCTTCAGCTGTTCCTCCAGAGTCTGCATTGTCAGAATATAATGAACAACATCATTCTGGATGAAAAAAACTCAAGGTACACTGTGTAAAAGATGTTAGGATATCTATGATTTAGGACCAAAACAAGCTTACTCCTTCCTCTGGTTTATATCGAGCGATTAAGCTCTCGTACCACTCAGCAGTTCCTTTCTGTTCAAAAGATTAAAAGGAGAATAACTGGGCTGAAGTAAAGGGCTCTTATTGACTAGGAAGTATTTCTCACATTCAGCATTTCTCATCAAAAGACACTCTATGAATCAATAAAAGCTCAAGTGTTAAACACATTTACTTCCTCATTTAAAACTAATATCCATATTTCCATATTTTAATGGTACTTTGCTCCATTAAGACCAACAATGACATCCATAGATATGCAGTACATCGCTACACTCTGTACACTAAATGACTAGGTTATTAGGTACATCTGTTCAACTGCTAACCAGCTATGACAGCAACTCAAAATATTCACGTATGGTTGTCAGTTTATTCCATAATTTAAGAAACTGCTGATCTGCCTGGACTTTCCCACATAACCATCTGTAGGTTTTACAGAGAATGGTCTGAAAAAGATAAACTGGCACTGGGTGCCACTCCTGTTGGCTAAGAAAAATAGCTACACAAGGTCAACAGACAATAGAAGATTGGAAAAACATTGCCAGGTCTGATGAATTTCACTTTCTTTCCGATGCTAGTGTCAGGATTTCTCATTAAATACATGAATGCACTGATCCATCCAGCCTTGTATTAATAGTTTGAGTAGCTGCTCTTGGTTTAACAACGTGGGGAATATTTTATTTGGGACACTTTGGGCCCTTAGTACCAAATGAGCATCATTTCAGTGTCACAGCGTACCCGACCATGTCCTCCATGGCAAGGTCACAAAATTCAAATCATCTCAAACAGTTTTTTAAACATGAAAATGAGCTCGTGTTCAAACTGTACCCAAAACCAGCAGATCCTTCATGACAATATAGACCAAAATCTGTGAGGAACATTTCCAGCACCTTCTTGAATCTACACTATGAAGATTTAAGGTCAAGGTCAAGGTCAAATTTATTTATATAGCACATTTCCAGATAGATGATGCTGCACAAAGTGCTTAACAATACAAAAATGTCATTAAAAAGAAACAATGTAAAACAATGATAGGACAATAAAAGAATTAAAACAATAACTAAGATTATTACATAAGACCAACATGCTTGGGTCATAGTGTGTTAAAAGCCAGGGCATAAAAATATGTCTTTAAATCGATCAAGTGTTTGTGCAGATCTAATATTTTGGGGAAGACTATTCCAAAGTCTGGGACCTGCCACAGAGAAGGCTCTATCGCCACGAGATTTGAGTCCGTGGGATGGATAGCATTAATTTTGAGCTAGACTTAATGGATTTTCCTGGAGCATAAACAGAAAGGAGCTCAGACAGGTAAGAAGGGGCTCCGGCGTTAAGTGACTTAAAAACAAAAAGTAAAAGTTTAAATTGGATCCTGTAGGAGACAGGAAGCCAGTGTACAGAAGCTTGACTAGCTGTCTTAACTGAAAGAAGCAGGATTAGACTACTGCACTCACCTGCTTATTCAATTTAAAAGAACCATCAAGGTAGACACTGAGGTTTTTTACATGTAAGGTTTTTTACATTTTTACCAAGGTTTTTTTTAGGGCAGTTCTAGCACCTGGTACCTAATAAAGTTTCATAAGTACATGCATGAAGGACAACAATTAATTCATGTACACATTAAAAAAATCCTGCTGGTCAAAAACTTCATGGGTCACCCACACAAGTTTTCTTGTTACCTTAATAGCAGTAGTGATGTCGAGATGCAGGTCATTTCGAAGAGGACACACAGTCTTAAAGGCACGCATGTTTTGCATGTACCCAATCCCCCTGACAGTCACAGACAGAAAAAGCCAGCGACAATGTATGAGTGCGATTATATCATAAAGCAGTTATACAGTAACATACTGTTCTTTAGACCTCAGAAAATATAAAAGCTATATCTATTGCACTTTAATTGTATGCAAGATTCTGCATATCTGTGGAGAAAATGAGAAAGATAACTTTAACTGTTAGTGAGTCACTTTATGTGTGTTTCAGAGTGTAGAAAAGTGTTCCCTTGAGGTGCTGATAACCGGGCAGAGCAAGACTTCTTACTGTAAAAGCTTCTATAAAAAGCTAGTCGCCTCTAAATTAGTCCAAACCAGGCACATGGACTTCAATAATTAGCTGCTTTTACTGCAATTTATAAGATACAGACTCCTTATGTCTGTGCTCTTACTTTCTTCCCTTTGGTCACTGCTACGTACAAGCAAAAGCCAAAAGATGGCGATTCTTCTCTTGCTGATCCACATTTTGCTTGTCGATGGTTTCTCATTTCTAGTTATCCAAGACTTCTAGTTAAAATTCCCTCTTGGTACATTAGTCAGGTGTTAGTTTTTTTTTTTTTTTACAACAAATTGGGCTTTGAGGAAAAGGTGTTGTAGCTCTTTTGACATGAGTAATGAACAATGACATTTAAAACATTGTTTAGTGAGTAAGGAACCCAACACTGCTTCCTCCACAGAGGCTTGTAGTCTCTCTGTGTTTGTTGGGGTGAATGGCTGAACATGTTGGTATGAGAGCACGGGCGAGTGCGTGATGTGATGGTGGTGTGCCTTTACCTCAGCATGAGCTCGTAGCGTGTAATGGCAGCAGCGCTGGTGCAGGGGAAAACCTGACGCATGTTCTTCATCAGGCACAGGCAGTGCTCTGTGTACAGCCTGAAGCTGTCTGACAGCTGCCTCTCCTGTACACAGGAAGGGCCCTCAGTTATAGCTTCCAGTACACTGGCTGTGAGACATTTTTGGCTGAACCAAAAACCTTGATGAATGTCAGTGAGGAGCTGAGCTAATGAGGTGACTGTTTCTAGATGATGAAAGGTTTTCGTTTTTTTCCCTGTTGGGGGAGCAACGGTGTAGAACCTACTAGGTCTCCCCGCACAGCGGGAGGGTCCCACTCTGCATCGATAGTCCTCAGGAGGCGCAGCAGCAGGGAGTAGCACACCCTCTGGGTCCGATGGTGGCTGCTGTAGCACTGCCAGCGACTGCATTAAAAATAAAACACGCACCTTCCACCTGATGCTAAAGCGTTCATATAACATTTGATCAATTTTATTCCTCCATTAATACTCACATAATAGCCTGTTGCAGAGGTGAGAGATCAGTTTGCACAGCATGGTGAGTTAGCACAGTCCATGCTGGAGGAGAAACCTGCCCATTCCAGTTGTATGGCTCTCGCTGGAAATACATGTGACAAAGTGGCTAGGACAGAATTCATTTTCTATTTGTCACTTGCATATATTGTTATTCTGTGTTCTGTTATCCTATAGTCTATCACAATGCTTTAATGTAAACACAGCACATGTAACCTTGGCTCTACATACTATCCGGGGTCTGTTTGTGGTAGCATTGGTTATATTCATTTCATCTGTGCAAATGTACTTAAAGCTAAATGTCACTTCATCACTAATTGATTTGAATCTTTCATTTGTTTATGTAGTTTGGTTATACTTACCATTGTGTGTTCCTTTGAACAGGTCCTATGTGTAAAACAGGTATGTGGGAATGGCCGCCCCAGTACTTCCTGATTTTATAGGATATGATGTCACTGATCATGTCAATTGGGTGTAACCAAAAGAAGGTGTGTTTCTTTTGTGTAAAATTATTTATTTCATTTAAAATAACCCCATGAGTCAGAGTAAGTGAAGAGATTGACTTTTCAAACTGTTTAGTTGGGTGAATGAGTTTGTTAAGTGGAAAAATGATTTTATTCCTGTTTCTTTGTCTAGACTGTGTTATTTAGTCTA